CTGCTGTCCCAGTCCCCACCCCGGCGGTTACCCCTAGCCCCAGCAAGACAGCTAGGGTTATTGAAACCAGCTCTTACAAAAGAAAACCTCAGCCCCTCCACACCGCCGGGCCTCACTCCTTGTTCTCCCATAAAAGGGGAACTGATTGGGCGGGGCATCATCAAGACCCGCCGCGAGTAGGAGTCAGTGGCAGCCACCATCCCCAAAGAGTGTCTATAAGCAGTCTCCACAGTCCATCCATCGTCAGGCGGTGGTGCAGGTTTGGCATGAGAGGCATGGATCCAGGAGGCGATGCCGTCTACCTTGATGGCGGTGGGTGTCCCTTCCACCGGGGTTCCAAGTTGGCTGTCCAGTTGACGATGAACGTAGACAAAGTCCCCAACCTGGAACTGGTGTGGTCAGCCAAAGGGACCCACACGTCCTTTTGGACCGTCTCCAACGCCTTCAACCTAGCGAGCAGGGATTGAGGGGCGTGAGTTTCTGTCCACGGGTCAGCAGTGAGTGGTGGTGGGGCCCCGAAAAGGATTTCAAAAGGGGTTACTCCCAGGGGCCCGGGCGTATTCCGGGCACGGAATAGGGCAAAGGGAAGGAGGACTGTCCAGTCTGTCACGCCAGTTTCTAAGGATAATTTAGTCATAGCCTCTTTTAACGTTCTATTCATCCTTTCTACCTGTCCTGAACTTTGGGGTCTACATGAACAATGCAATTTTCAATTAATCCCCAGCACCTTGGCAATTCCCTGACTTACCTGGGCGATGAATGCCAGCCCATTATCTGAACCAATTACCTCTGGAACTCCAAACCGGGGAAAGATGTCTTCAATCTTGGCTACTGTGGTTGCCGTTTCGCTAAAGACTACCGGGCCGGCTTGACTTCCTTCCGTAAAGTCAACTTCCCAATAGCTGCCCGGCCTATTTCCCCTTTCCCTTTCGAGGGGTGGGAATTTCATGCCTTGCAGCTAGCGACAGTTCTCTCGGCTAGGGAGGTGAGCTTTCGGATTTTGGACCCAGATGGGTGAGGCGGTGTTGCCATTTCTTCAGGGACGATTATCTTCTCACCTGCCTTATCCTTTCAGACCCCGTACTTATCCTTGACGTATTTGCCAGGCTTTCTGGCCATCTCCCCCTCCTCTTCTGGGGAGTAAGAGAAGGACCTAGGAGGGTCCAAAGAGACTTTTGCTAGCGGCAGGATGTTTAGTCCCAAGGCAGCCTGTTTTGCTTCAACATCTGCCTTCCTGTTCCCTTCCGCCACCTCAGACGTCCCCTTTTGGTGCCCTGGGCAACTTCTTTGGGGGCATGTATGGCCTCTGCTGTCAGTGTAGATGTTGACTCTTCAGCCAACCTGAGGGCTTGTGTTCTGCCTTCTGTGCTGAGGTGCCTTCTGGCAGACTGCTAGACCAGATTACCTCATCCGAGCTGACTACCGAGGTTCCTGCCCTCCTCTTCCTGTCCGAGAGGTAGCTGCTGCCATCTGTGAACCAAGTGAGGGGGGACCCGGGTAGGGGTGTGTCTCTGAGATCCCGCCTGGCCCCCGTTTCTTCAGCCAATATCTTCTGACAGGAATGCAGAATCTCTCTCTTTTCCAAGTCTGCTTCTGGTAGCAGAGAGGCAGGATTCAATGTCACGGGGGCCCCGAATTGGACTCTCCCCTCGTCCAACAAGAGACTTTGGTCACAAGGAAAGAGTGGGTGACCGTCCCAGTCCCAAGATCTACAGTCCGGTTAGTCATCCACGGGTATTGCTCATTACCGGTGGCCCCAATGACCCAAGAAGTTTTCTTAGATATCGGCCCCAAGGGAGCTTTTATTGTGCTCCTGTGTCCACCAGAAATTCTACTGGTTTCCCCTCCACTTGGATGGTTACCCTGGGCTCAGGGAGGGGTTCCGAGCCCCGTCCCCCTCAGTCACTGTCCTCATGAAAGGCCAAAATGGTCTTGGCTTCCTTCTCCTTCCTCTGCCTTCTTGGGCATTCTCTCTTCCAGTGTCCTTTTTCTTTACAGTAGGCACATTGATCTCGGTCGAGTGGGAGGCGATCGCCCAGGTTCTACCCTTACCTCTCCCTTATCACCTACCACTGCTGCCAAGATGCGCGTGAGATTCTTCTCCTGTCTACACCTTCTCTGCCTCCTTAACTAAGTCCTGCAAAGTATAAAGCAGATTGGCCAATAAAGGCCATAGCCACCGAAGCCCGCTGCCCCTCGGTCGCAGGGTACCGCCTGAATGCTTCCATTAGTCGCTCAAGAAAGACCGAGGGAGGCTCCGTGGGTCCCTGAAGGACATCCCTTACCTTAGCCAAATTGGTGGGCCGACGCGCGGCTCCTCTGAGGCCGGCCACTAGAATCTGGAGATAGACTGTCAGTCGCTCCCTACCTTCTCATCACATGTACAACTTTTATAAAAACTTTCACTATTTTACATTAGCTCTTAAACCTTCTTCCTATGTCCTTCAAAAATCTATAACCATTATTTTAGAATATTTAGGAAAGGCAGAGGGAAGAGAGAGCAGGTCTAGCACTGTGTTCCCAATAGCCGCTTGAATTTTAAACTGCCACATTCTTCCTACAGATAAAGATCTCAGATTCTGATAAGACTGAAAAGGGGCACAGGAGAATTTTAACTGTGCCTTTAAATCCCCTAATAGAACACGGTGAAAAGTGTCCAAGCAGTTTCACATTGTTTTAACACAATTCTAAATAAATTATTGAAGTCTACTTAAATCTATAAAGTAGTCACACATGACTGAAACCAAAAATTATTCCCAAAGTTTAAACAAAATACAAGATGCAGGTACAAGCCCAAATTCAAGCTTACAATGCAATTAGAAATGATAACAATGGCATATGAGAAAAGCAAAACAAAACAAATTAATATGGCTATCACTTTTTCTACATTAAGAGAAAAATATATGACTTGGCCTACTTCTTCACAAGAGGCACACTATAAATTCCCAACAAATTTACTTAGGTCTGTATGAAACAACCTGGATAGGGCTCAAGCATCATATAGATTCTTCATCTGACAAATGAGAATAAACCAATCCTTGAGATCTTTGATCATTACTGCTTATTCTTATCACATGTAATACAATTTAGCCTGCCATATTCTAGGCATTTAGTTACTGCAATTAACTTTTCCTAATTCAATTTATACTTTGAACCTTTAAAGCTGGCAAGCAACATTACATTTCTCAATCACAATTCATACTTAAGTAGCTATATGACTCTGCTTAGCTGATACCAATGACAAAGACTAACCATTGTGGGCTGCTGGAGCAGCATTCAAATGCAAATGAACACATTCTTTACCTAAAGACTCCTGGCCATTCAGGGCCATTCACCACCATTCACATAAACTTGTTACCATTACCATCTAGTTTCCGCCTCATGGCGGGGAATTTCAAGAGCTGCTTACAATGACTTGGGAAACCAGTTTTTAATTTATCTGCTGCCTCCAGCTACTCAACTCCTGGAGGTGAATGGAGGCAGGGAGCAAACGGGTCCCAGGTGACGAAGGCGGTGCTGCCACCAGAGCACTCAGCTTTAAACAAATTAAAGGTTTCTTTCTTTCTCTCTGCTCGCCTGTGGCCGGGCGAGTAAGATGGACCTGGGAGGTCTCTTTCCCAATTTTCCTTTGTCAAGGAGACAACCACACTCCTTCAATCATTTGGGGTTATCAAAAAGAACATCAATCCAGATATCAGTGTATGGAATTTGGTCCGGATGCCCAGGGCTCCTATAGACTATCCGCCGGACTCCCGTGTAGGGCCCCATGTCTAGGGTCCCTGTTGAAGGCCAATCAACCCCAAATGTCGGCCACTCCAATTCACAGTCTCCGGAGAGTGAAGGCATCTACCGAAACACCATAGCCTTCACCTCGTTTTTTTGAAGTCCGGAAAATTTTTAACCATGCATTCAAGGGGACTTAGGTGACTCTCCTTTGAGTTTCCTTGCCCCATTTTTCTCTTTCTTCCCAATTTGTTAGGCAACAAATAATTCCAAAACAAATCCAAAAGAGTAAAAACAAAAACACTGCACTTTTACCAATTCCCACACACTCGATTGCGGCCGCACTCTCTCAACACTCACAAAACACTCACTCAGACCAGAACCAGGGAATCTCCAGACTCCAAACCCAGACAGAGCCAAGGAGTCTCCACTTGAATCTCTTCCACAAACACACGATTGGGGCAGACGGTCGCGGCTGCCTCACTGTCTCAGTAACCAAACCTATCCGATCTTCGCCGGGACTCGAACCCGACACCTGATTGTCGGGACTCGAACCCGACACCTGATTGCCGGGACTCGAACCCGACACCTGATTGCCGGGACTTGAACCCGACACCTGATAGGAGACCGCCAGGCGCCCCTGGCTCTCCTGCACCCTTGGGGCGTCCCCCAGGGTTGCAGCCTGTGGCCCTCCGACACGTCTACCGACCACTGTTCGGCCACCCTCACGAGTTGCCGAACGGCTGCGAACTCAGAACCAGATCAGATTACAGAAGTGCGCACACAGAACCAGATCAGATAACAGAACACAAGACAAAGACAGACAACTTCGGGGTACCCCTTCTTACCTCCAAGATCGGTTCTGGGCTTGAGGGGGGGGCCGCTCGATCCCGGACGAGCCCCCAGAATGTAAGGCCTGAAAGACCCCCGGTCCAAAGGATGAGCGGCGACCCCAAATCAAACGCAGAGCCCGAGTCTTGATGCAAAGAGCAGGAGGTTTATTCCAAGCGCTGCGCAGGGACCCACAAGCAGCAGTCCAGAAAAAGACTGCCGCTTGAGAGCCCTGAACAGAGGTTAGTTACAAGCTTTTATAGGCAGAAACCACACCCAGGTGGCCTGGGGAAATTGGCCTGGGGAAATTGGCAAATTGGCCTGGGGAAATGCAAACATAAGGTTGAGATTGCAATCTCTTGGCCATTTCCAGGGCAGTTAGAAACAGGCCTGACCTTACAGTTTCCGCATGAAGCCAACATTTGATTGACATTCAGAGGAGCCATGACAAATTTTCAATGCCTCTTTATTTTTAGTGCTACGTTAACCAGTTAATCTTTAGCTGCCTCATACTTCTCAGCCACATCAACAAATTAGGTGCTCATTTCTGGTCCTCTTTTTTCCCTGTCTTTCTTGTTTTCCTTATTCATGTTCTCCTATTTCCTCCCCTTCATTTTCCTCCTTTCATATTGCTCTCTGACTCTCCTAAATGGCTCTAGATTTGCTCAGAATAGCTGCTGCCTCCCCCACATTCTTTTGCTAGGGAGATATTGCACAGGTGCAGCCCCATCTGTCCTACTGTGTCTCTCAGAGCACAGTAGTACACAGCAGAGTCCCTCAAGGTAACCCGGGGCAGGATCAAGGTACTGGATTTTCTGTCTTCTGTGATGATGAGAGAGGCCATGTCGTTAGTCACATTCTTTCGTAAGCCATGAATTATATACTGTGGCCTTTGATTGGGATTTTGCCGATACCAATGTATATAGTCATTTCCACCGATGGTAGAATGGTTACAAGGTAGATTCACATCTTTTCCTTCAGCATAATCCATGGAGTTGGGCTGGGTGATCTTAGCATCAATCACAGTCCCTAAAGGTTTAAGAAATTCAAATTAGCATCTATAGATCAAGGATACAACACTCCCATGACTCTTTGGCTCTACTCCATTCTACAGTGTTTTTATTTATGTCCTTCTAGAATGCAAAAAAATTATTATTAGTGCTTGTTATGGAGACCAAAGGTACATGCCAAAAATCAGAGACTTCATAGATTCTATTCCGTGGGTCCTTGGATCAATAAACCCAGAAATTTCTTACAATCTGGATACTGCTAAGGGTTCTTCTGGGATCGTGGTTATGATTTAATCTGTCATCTAGAAGTTTGTTCTCCCTAGACAAATGCATAGATCACTTCTCAACTCCAACTCTAGCATGAGAGAGAACTAGAGAGCAAATAACCCTTCAAGGTCCTTTTGGTAATCATAGAACACTTACCCAAGGTCAGAAACACAGTTACTCCAGTCAACAGCCTCATTCTTAAAGAGAAGACTGAGATCATGAGCCCAGAGTTCAGTCTTTGTGTCTGAGCTTAGTCTTAAAGAGATTCCAGAGAACAGAAGCAACAGCTACAACTGCAGCCACCACTGTGTTGTTGCCACATTCTTGTCAGCCAATGATAGAGCAGTTCCTTCTCTAGTCTACCTCCCCTGTTTTATCTATGTCCCCAAGAAGAAGGAGAGAATGTCAATCATATATCCCCAACTCACAGGATGCCCACTAATATTATTTGTGAGGTTTAACGTTTGACTCTAGATACGAAAAATAAATCATAAGGATGTATCTATCCAGGACCTTTCTTCCATAATTTCTTCTTCAATGTACCAAAGAAATTGGCTGATGCTCCAAGGAGCTTGAACAAAGTATCCTTTAATCCCAGAAAATTGTACTGAGCTCTGTGCTGTAAGAAGATGAAATTTCTATTCACATACCAGAAAATGCATGTGAGATTCAAAAGAAGTCAGTGATGTGCTCCAGGGGACTGGAAAAATTAACAGTGTTGAAGCTAAAAGCTAAACCTTTTGTAACTCAGGTTTCCTATAGAGTTTCCTGGAATCATGATATCTATTATACTATTGTCTAGGTAGACACTTTTTATTGCATCTCTTCTTGGTATAGTAACTGATTACATGAATTGTGTTTATCCTCATTCTCCTTGAAGAAATATCCTTAGTACTCATCTTCTCTATGGCAGGTTATGAGTGCTGTGTACCAGGGATGGTGCGGCAGAAAGAAAAGAAAATAGAACAAGCAAAAATGGTGGAGGAGGTAGATTGTAGAAGGTTAGCGGATAAAAGAAAAACAGATATAAAGAATAGGGAAAATAAGAAATTATCAAGGAGGGGAAATGGAGAGAAAGTTATTTATGGAGGTACATTGTATAGGACTAGGAATATTGGTCTAAGGGCCCTTAAATCTTTGACCACACATACTCAATAAGAGATTATAAAGTACAAGTTGTCTGAAAAGGAAGAAAGCATGTCTTTTTTCCCCTGTAAAATGTCAGAAAACATAAATATCTGCCCTTCTCCCAGAAAGAAATGTTTTTTGCAGATGAACCAACCCCCTCTTGTGACTGAACAAATGAACTGCATAACAAAAACCAGGCCAAAAGTTGGCCAGCAATCTTTTGAAAGATTCTTTCCTCACATTTGAAGTTGAAAATCTTTGCTGTAATACCTCTGTACTCATTATTATTTTCTGACCCTATAACACTCCCCCCAAATTTTAATTATACTATTGCTTTATTTCAGTGATATTTCCATTATGATTCTCAGTTGTTGGCTTCTCTTCAATTTTCTTTTCCTCTCTAATCTTCAAAAGCCCATATTCTTCAATGTTTACAAGAAGGTTGGTACAGATTAGACACTCAAGAATTACTTATTTTCTAAATTTGTAGCTGAATCATTATTTATGAATTTAGTGAGAGAAGTTATGCTGAGCAGCTCCTTAAATTATTCTAAATATAATCTTTCAATATTGTGAAAACCATTTTGAACAAAAGGCTTCAACAGGACAAATATAGTGTTAGAGTTGTGGGAAAAATTCAATAGACAACAAATTTATCAAACATGGGGTGGGGAATATCAGACTATAAAGACATGGGAATAAATGTCCTAGTAATTATACATTATACTTCATTCATTTAACAAATATTATTGGGAGCCTATTCTGTACCAGGTCTCTCTTTACCTCTCTCTTCACCTCTCTCTTATTCTCTCTCTCTCTCTCTCTCTCTCTCTCTCTCTCTCACACACACACACACACACACACACACACACACACATCAATAGCATGCTATTGCTGAAACTATAAGAACAAATGAAATTGAAATTAAGGGCAGTAGTACTTACATCAGGCAAAATAAACTTTTATAAAAGCCCATAATATGAAACAAAGAAAGACCCAGAAATTCCACTTCTGAGTGTTATCCAAAGAAACCCTGAACACTGATTCAAGAAGACATATGCATCACTATGTTCATTGCAGCATGATTTACCATAGCCAAGATATGGAGGCAGCCTAAGTGTCTATTGATAGACAAATGGATAAAGCAGTGGTACATATAGGCAATGGAATATTACTCAGCCATTAAAAGAAAGGAAATCTTGGCATTTGCAACAATATGGATTGGCCTAGAGGGGATAATGCTAAATCAAACAGAGAAAGAAAAATTCCGCATGATCTCACTTATACATGAAATATAAAGAACAAAGTAAACTCCATGTGCTAGGCGTGCTGCTTCTGGCATTGCTGGAGAGGGGGCTCTGAAGTGTAATATTGATAGAATAGACTATACCACCTGAAACTACTGCTTCAAGTTTAGACCAAGCAAGGGACAAACTTTGAAACAACCAACAAGACCAAAGAAGAGTACACAACACTTGATCTGAAATAAGAAGTCTACCTACTCAAAAGCTTTCAACGAGCACTTCCCAGCACTACTGCTGATCAGTCATCTTTGTTCTTTTCAGTGCTGTACTGTGAGATTGCCCATTGCAACAGCAGTTGTATTCTTTATTAGCTTTTAGTCATTTTTTCTCACATATTTTTAATACTAGCAACTTTCATCCTTTGAAATGTGTTGGAAAAAAATCAGTAATTATTACTGAAAGTGCAATATTTGATTATCACTGAGACATGAGCTTTGATCCAAATCTCCACAACAATGGACACAATTGGTACCCCAATGATACTTCAGCAGCACTGTGTGAAAGTGGGGTTATTGAAAAATGGATAATCTCTAACGGGTCTATTCAGTCTCCAGAATGTCAAGCTCCACTTTTCTACCACTTTTCATAGTATAATGGAAACCCACAGGACTTAAAAGTAGGAGATAATGTTGAATTTGAAGTATCATCTGACCTGCAGAAACCCATTGCTGTTAAACTGGTGAAGATAAAAGCAGAAATCCTTCCTGAAGAATGAATGAATGGACAAGAAATGTTTCATCTGACTTATGGTCCGGAAGAGTGGAAGAAAATGTTCAGCTGGAAACTGGAGTTAAAATAAACTTTATAATTGATCACAATAAACACACTGATGCTCTGCTCAAAACATGCTGTTGAAAACCAAACAAGCCAGCAGTCAGGGAGTAGTTTGTTTCATGTCTTCAATGAAAGAGGTGATGTTATAAAAGAAATACTCTTTCACTAAAATGAATTTAAGGGTGATTTAGCAGCCTTAAAACTTGGAGATGATGTGGAACTCATAACAAGGACAGTGATGGTAAAGAAGTTGAAATAGACATCAGACTATTGCCTCAAGGAACAGTCATTTTTGAAGATACTGGCATTGAACATTTTGAAGGAACTGTAACCAATGTTGTCCCAAAAGCACTCAGAGAAAAAACAGAATGACCCGTTGACAGGACACATCGAAGTTGACCTTGTGATTCCTAAAGACCTTCCCTTTGTAGACAAAGATACAAAATCCAAAGTGACCCTGTTGGAAGGTGACCATGCTAAGCTTAATATTTCAACAGATGTAAGTGACAAATTAGAATGAACAACCAACCTAGAACTTCTATCAAGTACATCTTGGTTCACTGATGAAGCCAGAAAAATGTGTGTAATTGCTATCATACAGGAATATTTTTAGTTTCATCAAATGTATGGATTCTCACCAAATACTCCTATGTTCTTCCCCTGTAGTGAAATTCTTTATGGGAACTAGATGCATATTGCAGAGGAAGTCGAGTTTACTATACTTCCTAATACGCTCTCTGCCCTAAGAAATCATGCTGTTAGGATTAAAAAGTATTCCAAGGGCACAGTTTTATTCCACTTCTATTCAGATAGTTTTCTGGGCACTGTAAAAAAAGAAGTAACTTTTTTAAAATCCTAAAACCACTAACTCAAATAAAGGCAAGAGAGAGAGAGAGAGAAAGAGAGAGAGAGAGAGAGAGAGAGAGAGAGAGAGAGAGAGAGAGAGAGAGAGAGAGAGAGAGAGAGAGAGAGAGAGAGAGAGGCTAAGGATGTTTTTTATGATGATTGTGGAATAAAATTGACTATTACTTTCAAGCCACTGATCTACTTCTCCTCAAATAGGAAATAAGGCTGAAAGGCTTGTTAGCTGTGTAGCAACTCTGAAGTATAATTATGAATTTATTGAAAAAGCGAATCACTATAAGAAAATCTTTTTTCCATTACAGTGAGTTCTCTAGTAATGTCAATAGCCTGGAACTGGGAGACATGATGGAGTATAGGCTGACCAAAGGCAAAGGCAGCAAAGTCAGTGCAAAACAAGTCAACAAAACACCCCCAGTGAATGGAATTACTGAAGAAGCTGATCCTACCATGTACTCTGATAAAGTCATTAATCCTTTGAGGAGTGTTAATCCAACACAGACTGAATACCAAAAAATAATTGAGATCATGGAGGAAAGGAATATGAAAGGTAAAGTCTATCCATTTGGCATAGTTGGAATGGCCAACAAAGGGGATTGATTGCTTGGAGTGTGTACTAGGCCAAAATGCACAGGCTATGGCCTACAACATCACACCACTGAGTAGGTATATAAAATATTAATTTGGCTTCATTAACTATAAGTGGAAAATAGCAAAAGCTCTTTTTCCGTATGGACATGTGATTTTTCTTCTTTAGCTTATTAATATGATGGGTTCCATCAGTTGATCTTCAAATATTGAAGCAGTCTTGCATCCATGAAAAAAAATGTTTCTTTTATTATACAGAGGTAAGCAAAAGTAGGTTTATAGTTGTTAATATGGAAAATAACATATTTAATACTAAAAGAATAAATGTTGTGTTTCTCATACTCACAACTATAAATCTACTTTTGTTCACTCCTGTATTAATGAATTCTACTTGCTAATATTTTGTTAAGAAAGTTGTGTCCCTATTCATGAGGGAAATTTCTCTGTAGTACCCCCACCCCCTCTCCTTTTTGTATGGTCTTTGCTTTTGCTATCAAGGTAATGCTAACTTCATAAACTGAGTTAGAAATTCTTTTTCTTTATTTTCTGTTTTCTGGAAGAAATTGTATAGAATTCAAGTGAGCTCTTCAAATCTTTGGTAGACTTCTCCAATATAAACTATTTGAGCCTAGATATTTTTTAAAATTAAGATTTTAATTTCTTCATAGACATTGTGATTTCAGCTTGCTTTGACTTCTATTCCAAAGAGAAACAGGGGGGAGCTGCTTCTGGAGTCCCACAGCAAGGTTTGGGGACAGGCTGTCTGCGTGGCTGTGGTGAGCAGGGAGCTGGTTTTTCTAGTCTCTCCAAACCATGGATAATAAGAGTGACAACATGTAACTTAAGGGCATGAACTCTATCATCCTCAAGAACTGTGCAGGACCAGCCAGCATGGCTCAGTGGTTAGGTGTTGACCTCTGAACCATGAGGTCATGGTTCAATTCCAGGGCAGGGCACATGTCCAAGTTGTGGGCTCAATCCCCAGTACGGGATTTGCAGAAGGCAGCTGATTAATGATGCTCTCTCATCATTGGTGTTTCTATCTCTCTCTCCCTCTCCATTCCTCTCTGAAATCAATAAATATATATATTTCTTTTGAAATATGGTCTTAAAGTCCTGTTCTGGCATGAAAGATGTGGTGGCAATCCTTAGATGCAATGAGAGCCATGGGCCTTCAATGACAGCAGGTGGTGATTGATTACTCATGTTGGGCCCTACCATAAGCAGGGAGATGTAAGTTTTTCTTTTTTACTGTGATTTTTATCTTTTGTTCATTTTTCTCATTCCATCTGACTAAATCCTAAAAAAAGAAATAAGGGGCCATTTACAAGGGCATGCATGTAATTTACAATAAAAAAATTAACAAATTATTTTAAATTTCAGATCAACTTATTTTCCCTGTGCCTTTTGTTTCTACCTATTCAGTTAGCCAGTAATAAGATCATACTGAAAATACTAGAGGACCAACATGCACAAAATCATGTGCAGTTTGGGTCCCTAGGCCCAATACATGAAGCTCCTCACCCCAGGATACTCCATGATGCTTGCGGCCCTTCAACTGCTTCACAAGACTCCCCCGACCCCACCATGCTTCAGGACCCAGGACTGACTTCCACCATGGGCCAGGACCCATGACAGCAGTTCAGCCCACTTGCCAGTCCCCGCCCACCAGAGCCTACTGCATGCACAGCCCGTTCAGCCATCCCTCTGGTTATTTTGGACGTGACAGACCCTGGCACTTTATATATATAGATTAGTGTTAGGTCACCTAAAGACAAACACATGAGGCACAATGGTGAGGGATTATGAATTTATTTGATCATTCACACACCAGGTGGCTGAGCCCTAGATAACTCCAGTACCCAGTGACTGGAGTCAGTAGTTTTTAAAGGACTTTTGGTGGGCTTTTCCTGGCTAGAGAATTCTCTGTGCAGCTCTGGAGGGGAGAGATAATGGAATGTGGTCTCAGCAAACGAGAATGTCCATAGTGAAATGGCCTGAAAAGTCATTTCTTGGGGAGGGGATTCTATTTAATTGCTTGATTAAACCTAACAATTAGAAATCCTTCTGTTGATCTTTATTCCAATAATGATGGGACTGATTTGGGAAGTTGATCAGCAGCAGGAACAATAATGGCTCTTCTTTTGTTCTGTTTCACTTCAATAACTCTGGTGTACAGTGAACCATAGGCTCTCCTCACTCAGGCCTGTGCTATACTCTCCCAATTCTACACACATTCAAGTAATATAGATTTAATCATCCCCAGTCTGACAATCAAGCAGATTCAATATCACCTTGTGAATGAATTTTTAATTTAAAAAATTTCCATGTGTATGTCTCTTAAATGAGGGGCCCTACAATAAATGAGGGGCCCTACAATTTGTTTTTTGAAATATGCATTATTTTTTTCTCAATATGTGATGGCCATAATGAGATTTCTAAGGAGAGAGAAAGAAAGAGAGATAGAGAGAGATGACATGAGATGGGTAAGTAGTTATTAATGTAGGGGTCAGAGGAAACTGAAACTCAAACTATTAGATGAAGAGGCCCAGAAAGTAGTTAAATCATGTTGATAAAACGCAGGAAGGCTCCAGAATTAGAAGCTACAGAACCAGCGGGGTATTTTGCTCATAGATGGTTTGGAAACCTACAAAATGAGTACAGCACCAGAGACTTGACCTGCCTTCTATACCTGGAAATTATAAACAAAGAAACTTAGGCGATACAGTTCAATTACCTATTCAGTGGCACAATCACAGTACCAACTGGAGGATAGATCAAATTTAGTAGTGAACTTCGCCTATCAATGCTTTTTTCAGTATCACAGGAGCTTTTTTTTTTTTTTTATTGTAATTACCCTTATGTAAGAAGAAATGACATACAGATGCTCATGTAGGGAGAAGGTTGAAGTAACCTAAACTAAAATCCCCAATGAATTAAACGAGGCGGCATTGCCTATTCTGGTATGAAACATGTAGGTTTCCATGTTGGGTGTTTGATAAGAGAGTTCCATTTATGCATGTGAAGAAACATAACAGAAGGACTAGCTTTTAGAAAGTAGCAGTAATGTGGGGTAAATATCACACTAGTTTAACCAGATTGTTTTAGATAGGTTGTTAAACCATTTAATTCATTTGGAATCATGCCAAAAGTGAAGGCAAATGATTCATCTCAATGGTATAGCTAATATATTGGGGGAAGGGGGCTAAGGTTGGTAGTGTTTAGTAACAGTCCAATTACTTGAAGGAGCTATAATGATTAGAATGTTTGTTTACCTGTGCTTGCACTTCCCCTGATTATTGAAAATACTGCAATCCATTGAATTTGCCTTTTTCATCCCACACAGGGCTCTTCATCAACACTGGGACCCGAGTAGCACCAGACCCAGGTTTGAGTATGGGCTGCAGGTGCCTTAAAAGCACTGTGCCAAATGCACAGAGGTATGTGGCTGTGTCTTCGGGCTGGGATCCTTTGATGTACAAGTAGCTGTAACCCTCTGTAGTATTAAGAGTAATTGTAACTCGACCTTTTTTCTTTACATCCCCATTTACGCTAATTACAAGCAGGATGGTGGGGCTTTTTGCAGGTTCCCACCTGTACCAGTGTAAAGCATAGAAAGAGCTGGTGGGGAAGCGGCAGGTGAAGTTGGTGCTCTTTCCTTCCGGAACATGCAGTGACTGAGGACTCTGTTCCACATTCAGTTCGCTGCTCACTCCTGTTCAGAAAGAAAGACAAGGTGAGTCTTAGAAACTGGTCTCTTTATAGAGCTTTTATTTTCTTCACATAGTCTCAAATAAAACCTAGGGGTGTCTGTCTGCATCGTCCTCCCTCCCCTTCACCACTCCAGAGTGTTAGGAATGTCTTCAGTAACCCAAGGACTTACGGACAAGATGAAGCCATAGGATTAACAACAAGGCTGGCAAAAGATGATTCTCCATTTATTCTGCCCAAGTATCTTCAGCAAAGTAACGTCCTGCAGCCTAGATCTGTGGGACATTCGGCCTCAGAAAGCAGGATTCTGTACTTGTTTGCTGAACCAATCAGAGACAAGCTCTTGTAAATGTACTAGAAACACACCAATTCTGCCCCCTAGATTCAGCTTCCTGTGGTTCAAAAGGAAGGATCAAACACTGCTTTCTTTGCTTTTCTAACGTTTTTTTTTTAAACCAAATATCAAGTTTTTATTTTTTAAATTTATCTTTATTGTTTAAAGTATTACAGATGTCCCCTTATCCTCCCGTTGACCCCTTCCACCCTGCACCTACCCTTCTCAGGCCTTCACCAGACTATTGTCTGTATCCATGGGTTATGCATATGCATATAAGTTCCTCTGTTTATCATTCCCCACCCACCCCTTTACCCCCACCTTCCCTTTGAAATTCATCAGTGTGTTCCATGCTTTTATGTCTCTGAATGTATTTTGTTCATCAATTTATTTTCTTCATTAGATTCAATATATATGAGTAAGGTCATGTGATATTTATTCTTTGACTGGCTTATTTAGCTTAGCATAATTCTCCCGGTCCATCCATGTTGTTGCAAATGGTAAGAGTTCCTTTAAAAAAAAAAAAAAATAGCATAGTAGTCCCATTGTGAAATGTACCACAGTTTTTTATCCACTCATTTGCTGATGGGCAGTTTAGCTGTTTCCAAATCTTATCTATTATGAATTGCTCTGCTATAAACATATCGGTGCATATATTATTTCTGACTGGTGTTTCTGGCTTCTTAGGTTATATTCCTAGAAATGGAATCACTGGGTCAAATGGCAATTCCATTTTTAATTTTTTGAGAAAACTCCACACTGTTTTCCACAGTGCAGCATTGGCTTTCTTAAGGCCAACTTCATAAACATTGAAGAAATCTCCCATGAGTTCACAACACAAAGGGAGTTGGTCATTTTTCAGAAGTGGGCTGCCCAATCATGTTTCCCGTGAACTGCTTCCTGTGAACTGCTACCCGTGTTTCCCCGAAAATAAGACATCCTCTGAAAATAAGACCTAGAGCAACTTTGGGAGAAAAAATTAATATAAGACACTTTTATTTTTGGGGAAACAGGGTATTAAGTTGAGAGAGAGTTGCAAGTGGAATGGCAATGTGGAAGGAAAAGCCCTTTGATTAGAAATATTTTATGTGAATTTGAAAAAAGTTTTTTTAAATTTTAAATCCCCTCAGATTATAAATGTGCACACATACTATGTACTAAACAATCTTTTGCTTTATGTACATCATTCTTATATAAAATAATATAATTTACAATAAGAAAATTAAAGCTCAAGGAGATTAAGTGATTAATTCAAAGTCAATTATCTAGTAGGTGGCATAGTAAGAATTAGAATATATAGCTACCTGGCTCTGGAGTCTGTGATGTTTGGAATTTGCCATGTCACTACATTTGTGATATTCACTAAATGTTTTAATCTTAAAGAAGATATATTCTGAAAAAAGGAGGGTGAGTCTATTTTGGCGTTGTTCTTCTTAATAGCCAAAAAAAGTGGGTGGGGGAACTACCTGAATATTCATGAGCTGGTGAATAGATACACAAAATAGGGTAACTATTTGGCAATAAAAAAGAGTTAAATACTAATAAATGTTACAATATAGATGAATCTCAAAAACATTATGTTAAGAAAAGAAGCTAGACACAAGAGATCACATATTGAATTATTCCATTTATATAAAATTAGAGGCCTGGTGCATGAAATTTGTGCATGGGGGGGAGGGAGTCCCCTCAGCCCAGCCTGCACCCTCTCCAACCCGGGACCCCTTGGGAGATGTTCAACAGCTGGTTTTGGCCCATTCCCTGGGATCAGGCTGAAACTGGCCGTCGGACATCCCTCTCACAATTTGGGACCGCTAGCTCCTAACTGCTCACCTGCCTGCCTGCCTGATCACCCCTAACTCCCCCCCTGACAGCCTGATCACCCCTAACAGCCTCTGCCTGCCAATCTGATTGCCCCTAATTGCCCCCCGTGCTGACCGGGTTGTCCCCATTGCCCCCCTCTGCCAGCCTGGTTGCCCCCAACTGCCCCCCCCCCCCCCCCGCCAGCCTTGTGGCCCCATGCAGCCTGTTGTTCATTGTTACTATGAGGGTGTCTTGACCAATTTGCATATTACCCTTTTATTAGTATAGATATTTAAAAAATAAAACTGTAAAGATATAAAGTAGATCAGTGGTTTCCTGGGGCTGGGGATGGAAATAAGGATTAACTGTAACTGAATGAAGGATCTTTTGGGGGTGATAAAAATGTTAAAACTGGATTATGGTAATGGTTTCATAACTCAGTTAATTTGCTAAAGATCATTGAACTGTAAATTCAAAATGGATGAATTTTACGGAATGTAAAATATAAGTCAATAAAGTTATTTGAAAGTAAATAAGAATTATGGTTTTTCTTACCATCATCACAGTCCATGGATAATGTAGTTTGATTTAACATACAATGATTTGTTTGAATAGTGATTTCTGTCTTTAGAATTTCCCAGGGGCTCTGAAAATTATTTTTTTAAAAACACAACATTCACTATTCTCCACAACATTCACTATTCTCCACAACATTCTCAATTCTCTGTGAGGCCAAAAAATAGTCAGATAAATAAGATATCTCCAAGGAAAGTTTAATAGTACAAGGCACATTAATTAAAATTGTTTAGGATAGAAATCTAACCTCTGGGACATTGATAGTATTAATTAACTTTGTAACCATAGTACCAGCTCAAAATGGTCTTATCCTGTTTAACAAGATATGAATTGCTTTTCAGAGACAACAGACCAAAACCACAAGTGATGTAGCCAAGGCGTGCACAGAGGGGAGTGATATGACTTCCAGCTGCATCCAGAACCAAAGTCCTGTTCCCTATCCTCCAACCAAAGGACTGGGACAGAACCAGATCTTGAACATTGGAACCCTTTCAGAAGCAGAAGGTCCAATGTCCAGGAAAGTCCTGTGTTGACACCCCTTCCCATACATGGCCATGCTCCAAGGTCCTCCAATTGAGCCTATCCAATCAGTGCTTCTGCATACCTGTTTCTCCCTATAACCTTAAAAATCCATCTCACCCTGGATCTGACAGGAAGGCTTTTGAGCTTTAGCTACCTGTTCTCCTGAGTGTCATCATCTATAATAATAAAAACATAATATGCTAATTAGAGTGGACATCCTTCCAGATGTCCTTCTGCATGACCTTCCCGATGAAGCTGGGGCTGTGAGGGAAGCCCACGTCCTGGGTGCCAAAGGGAAACCAGTACTGGCAGCCAGGGGAAGGAAGGCCTACTCTTGCACAAATTTCATGCACCAGGCCTCTAGTACACAAAATTCATGCACTGTGTGGGGGAGTGTCTCTCAGCCCATCCAGCACTCTCTCGCAATCTGGGAACCCTTAATCCTTATTGCTCAGCTCTCTTCTCCGTGGAGAGAGGAGAGGCTCCTACCACTTCCACTGCACTCACCAACCATAACTTCACTGACCACCAGGGGGCAGATCCTGCATTGAGCTCTGCCATTTGGTTGATTTGCATATTAAGCTTTTATTATATAGGATAAAAAATTTTTTTCACTATAATTCTCATTGTTGAGTGTTTGGTTCTGCTAGCACAATGGACAAACTCTGTAATAACTTTAATACCTTCTTCCCAGTGAACAACTGAAATGAATAAAGAAAACAGCATGGGATTGGTGCTAATACTTGGGAACATTTCCTTCCACATACAAATCATGTTCTGAAAAATAGAACAAGACTGGAAGGTGTTTCAATGGCTAACTTCTAGATTTTCTTCCCAAGAAAAGAGATGGAATCATGGTTAATAAAGACAATCTTTAAGTGCCTAATTGTCCTAAAGTAGAAGTGTAGGGGCTAGACTTAGGGAAGGGCTGCTAGACAAATAAAAACTATTACAAGTCAAGCTTCTGTTTTCTCCAGATCACAGCATTCAGATGATTCAGTGGTAGAAAAGGGCATGACTGCACATTCAGAAAGCCCACTTTCTGTAAAGCTTGTTTCTAATGAAAACATGAATGATTCACTGATAAATTCACCCACATGTTAAAGCCAGAACAAAAAGGGCATACCTCCAAGAAAGGGACAATACCTGCGAGCTATAGCCACCCACTTTCCCTGAAATAGAGACCAAACCAATTGACCACTAGGCATGCTGCATAAATTAAATCTGATCTTAAATGATTTGCAGGGTAAAAATATGGACAATTCTAAATAAATAACATTAAACATAGCCCAGCTTAATATTTTATGTTAGTGTTTGTATTGTAAGGACTCTAAAAATAATTTTATCTTTTGCCTATTCATTCAACAAATATATATCTATTATGCATCCTGTGAACTAAGTATTTTTCAAACAGAGATAGTGCAGTAATGAAGAAGATAGAAAAGGCAGTGGGAGAGGAAAAATTAAGTAAATGAATTTAAAAAATAAGGTATTTTTAAATAATGATAAGCACTATAAAGACAGTTCAATACTATGTTGAAATAGTTACTCTTGAGATAAGAAAAGGTATCTGCTCTATATATCTGCTCCACTTAAACACTTACTTTGTGTTACCAGACAAGTTATTTAATTTTCTTAAATTCAATTTTCTTTTCTGTAAGCAGCCACTGTCTTCCTGTTGGGCACTGGGCTAAGCATTGGCATTTATCATCTCATTTATTTTCCATAATAACTCTGGGTGGTAGATACTACCAATACCCACTTTGTAGGGATGAAGAACCTGAAGCATAAAATTTATTAAGTAAGTTACCCAAGGTCACTCAACTAATGAGTGGTAGATCAAGAAATCCAACCCAAGTCCCTGGTCTCTAACACTTTGCTACACTGCCTCCATAAAGGAGGGTGAAATCAACCTTGAAAAATTCCTATAAAAATTAAATGAGAACATGCAAATCACTCAGTACAATAACTTCCTACCTTAGGCACTCAATCAGATGCATGCAGTGTATAAAATACTGAGGCAATGAAATACATAATCTGAAATGAGGTTGAAGTG